TATATATATCTGAGCTTAAAACTATAAATATAATGATGATATCATGCAAAATATGTGCTCCACAATATTTTACCTGTAGGACAAGTAATTAATTACATTGTTAGACATTAAAATTCACTTACTTTTTGCCTTAGTTCCTAGCAGAAATGAGTAACCTGCTCACACGAGTTAATTTCTCTTTGGCTAGGTGCGCAAGGAGTACGGGAAATGCCTGCGGACACATTGCTGTAGTGGGAAAAGTACAGAGAGTTCCATTGGCTCAGGGAAAACATCCGGTTCTCGAACTCCTGGACGCTACTCTACAGGCTCCCAGGTAAGACACGGCTGCTCAGGGAACTTCAGCGTCTCTCCCCTCAGCATGTTGTACACCGCTGCTCTTTCTGATCACAGCTCTTTTCTGTCCTAAATGCTGGCCACCTCCAGAATGTGGTAGTCACGTTAGTGTGATTGGTATGGGAGTGATTTTTGACAGAAATTGCAAAAACCAAAAGCGTAATAAAATTTTGAAATTGAAAGTCTTTTTTCCATAACAATTAATGATCTTAGATGGCGTCTCCCTGAATAGCAGGTGAAGAAGAGAATTTGTTCCTTGGCCCAAAATTCAAAGAAAGCAGTATTTAAATAGATGACTCTGGAGTTTATTACTTCTTTCCCCAGGATAATCTCCTATCATTTAGTGAAACTGTACATATGAAATATGTTCACGGGGGCCTGGCCCTAGCTCAGGCCTTTAAGTGGCTGCTTCCACAAAGCTGTCAGCCTCAGGTTGCTGGAGTTTGAACCTCACACCTCTCCCGCTGGCCAAAAGTGCCCTGAAGGCATTCGAGCAACAACAACAACAACAAAAAAAGAAATATGTTCACTAAGAAAGAGTTACAATTCATACCATACTAGATTCTGATGAGCCAAAGAAAAACTCAGGTTAGTCAAGGACTCCACAAAAACATCACCTTCTCAGAATCCAAATGGCATACGGATCAGCACAGTGTATGTGCCTTTGTAATCCCTTCCACGGGACATTTTAAACTCTATGCTAAACTGTCAGCCACTTTTTTCCAGACCACAGTGTCCTTCCATGGACGATTCAGAAACTCTGGAATGCTAAGGGAGCTAGCCAAGCAAAAGGCATAAGATCGTGCACACAGTCCTGAATAAGTTTGAGTTCAGACCTGCCCTCTTTTTAGGATTACATTTTTCTGCAGGGAAGTCATGTTTTCATTGTTGTCACCTTAATTCTTAGAGGGAAGGCAAAATGAAGTTACTATTTTATAAAGAAAAAGTCAATTTTCTTAATTATTTTAACACAAACTATAAATTTGTTTTATAAATTGGGTTATTGTAACTCAAATAAGAATGTTTCCTTGTCTGTCCTTTGAGGTATGTTCCATTAGCTTATAAGAGTAACAGGTTAAATTTCTTTAAACAATTCTATTCATATGTTTAGGAAAGAAATTTCTTTGTATCCCTTAATAATAATTCACCAAATACTTGCTGACTCCACCCCAGGGCCCGCTGAGACAGCAACTGATGCTGCAAATGGTGGCGCGCACCTGTAATCCCAGCTCTTGAGAGGCTGTAAACAGGGGGATCACTATGAGTCTGATCTAGTAGTGAGACCCTGAACACCCTGTAGACCCTTCCCTAAAATACAAAATAATAAAAATAATAGTAATAATAACAATAATAAGAATTCACCAACCAAATGTAAAGACTTGTCTCCAACATATGTACTGTGCGACTGGACGGCAGCCATGCATACCTAACCAGTACTGGAACAGCTTCTCCAAATCAAAGATAATGAACATTTCCTTCAAATGTCATGGAACTCTTATTTTATAAATAATATATCTTATCTCAATCTATTTTCAACTGGAATTAACAACTAGCACATCACTGTCAACTACCACAGAAGATGTGAGACATCTTGAGTAACTTAGCAATCACAAATCATGAAATTTATTCCTAAATATAATGCACAATTTTGTTAAAAAATTAAATTGAGTTTATGATGACATTCTGCCATACAGTAGGACTGTAGAAGCACCAGATATACTACTCGCATGGGCAGTAGTTCTGATTCCAGAACTACTAAACTTAGCAATTGATATTATAAATTTGCACACAAGAATGGGAGCACATTGGAATGATTCTTCCAGAAAAATGTCCGTCTTAAGGCCTGCATCTTTACTTTCAACCTAATCATCCCTTACATCCACTTACCCTCACTTTTGATAACCTTTCGACGACATTTAAATCACAATTGCTGAGATTCTTTATGTGAGGCAGCCTGATTAGTCCTTGCCTGCTCTCACGCTGCTGGGCTCATTAGCTGCCATACTCTAGTCATTCTACTCATAAATGTCACTGAGAAAATGGTATTCGGGGATTTCCATTATTAGGTTACAACAAAATTGTACAATGTAGGAGCACCTCAAAAGAATGAGATAAAACAATACAGCTTTATAAAATAATGATAAACTTCGTGGTGGAGACTGGATATACCTTGGCTTAAGTCCTGTCTTTAACATGTAGCAAGTGCGACACAGCTGTGGTTTTAATCTCATTGCCTCTCATTCTTTGTTTCATCATTAAAATAATAGTGAAAATACTCCTTTCTTACATGTTTAGGATGATTAAGTCAACATACACAAAACAGTTAAAACAAATCTTCAATATTCAATAAATCACAGCTACTATCATTTATTAGTGTCATTATAGAATAATTTTATAGACTTTTCTTGAAACTATAGCATATTTTTTCTTTACCTTGGCAGTTTGTAAAATCACAATTCTACTCTTGGAATCAATTTAGAATACTAATATAACTGATATAATGCTAAAACAATATAATACTAATTCTGATTAAACATAAATATATAACCCTATACAAAGGATAGTTACTTAACTCTTGCCAATAATATTTCATATTAATTGTGACATTTCATAAACAAAGGTAAAATATTTACTATTATTAATGCACAATTTGGGGAATATAGATGCATTCTTAACATCAAAAAATTTCTAAAAAGGCAGTCTCTATTTCTGACTGTTTTATTTAGATAGATAGAGTACTTCCTGCAAAATGCCAGAAATTTTGAAGTTCTGAGGATAAAGTGGCTGCAGAGTAAACTTGTGATTTGGAGAATGACAAGTTTCTAGTGCTGAGAAACAAAACATTAATAAACACACCAAGAAAAACATTAACATTGTGACACCTGATGGAAAAGCAAAACTTAGTAATAGAAAAGCACACAGGTGCCTGCTTGGACCAGGTGCCTGCTTGGACCAGGTGCCTTCCTGGACCAGGTGCCTGCCTGGACCAGGTGCCTGCCTGGACCAGGTGCCTGCCTGGACCAGGTGCCTGCCTGGACCAGGTGCCAGGGAGCAGCTGCCTTTGCAGGTGCTCTCTACCTAGGCCAATGCCTGACTGACAATGGGCTAAATGGGAGAAAGAAAAAACGTTCAGAAAAGATGGTTCCAGGTGAGAGAAAAATGAGCACAAAGCTCTCTAGGTAGAGGAAAGCTCAAAAATTCAAAGATAGAAAGAATTTCATTAACCAAAGGAAAAATGGGATGAATGACAGAGCACAGTGCAAGAGGAAGTGAAAGGAAAAAGCAGGATGGAGGGCCTTCGTGTCCTGCAGGGCCTGGGTGCGGAGACTTGATTTTATTGGCTTTCGATACTCCGTGGGATGATGCAGAAGAGGAAGCCACTGGGCATCATCCACGTGTAGGAAAGGTCCTGTGGTCAGGGCACAGCTTTGGAGGGACGTGACTGGCAGGATTAAAGGAAATTATGCTCACCCGAACTTACGTCCTCACACGGATCACTTCTAAATCAGCAACAGAATACAAAATAACACAAACATAATTTGACAGAAATGAGTATAGTTTTTTTTAATATATATACTGAGAGATTGTCCTTTCCATTTTAACCAACCAATAATTAGCCTGGCATTTTTCTCATTCATTTTATTGATGTCTTATATTATTACCCAATATTTGAAAAAAGAAAATAATGTATTTGAATACATTTGCTAAGTATAGCAAAATAATAAACATGTGTCAGCACAATATCCAATTTAGAAAATTTTAAATGTTTTTCCCTTCATTTAACCCTTCCCTAATACACCTGTATATAATGTTGCCCAAAGAAAACTCTTAAATTTTGTTTCACGATTTTCTTCTTTTATTCCCATGGTCTTCCCTTTTCTAAAAATGTTTTTAATCTTTTCACAAAATAATTATTGTTTCTTAGGTGTTTTTTCATGTGTGTGTTATGTATGCATAGACTTAGGAAAGATGTGAAGTGTAACAATATTTCTGAATACTTCTGAACTCTTTCCAAGGTTTATATAACCAACTATTTAATATTCCAAGCTTGGCTGCTCCTACTGTCAAGAAATTCAAATATATTTGATATGTAACAGATTTTTGTGAGTTTAGTTTCACCATTAGTAGTAATAATTTTTCTTGTTAGCTATTTCATCCTGGAAAAAAAAACTTCTGAAAATATTTTGTTTCCACCTAACAAGATTAATATTGTTGTTCCCCAGCTCAATAAAATAGTGAAACAGAATAAAACAGAAAAAAAAAATCCTCCAATTAAAAAACCGTACAAAGTATTCAGGAAATAACGGGCATGTACAAGTTTGAATTTAAGCGTATAGTGACAAGAGGATTCTTGGTGATCATATGGGTGAGAGGGTTCTTTCTAAACTTCTGTGGTGAAGCAGTGACTAAGAATTAATGGACTACCTTTATCTTCAAACACGGAAAATAGAATCAGGCTGGATGCATCTGGCTAGAAGCCCAGCACTTGGGTGGCTAAAGCAGAACCGCAGAGTTTATGGCCAGGCCAGACTGCAGAATGTGTTCAAGTCAACCTGGACTACAGAAGAGGATTCTCAGATATTCATTCTCTCTCTCTCTCTCTCTCTCTCTCTCTCTCTCTCTCTCTCTCTCTCTCTCTCTCTCTCT